CAAAATGCGACCGTTTCCTGTCCAAGGAACTTCGTGTTGCTGCCGCCATTGCACAGAAGGTACCAATACAGAGGCACGACTTCGCTGACGACCGCCTCTCGTGCGTCGCTTGCGGCCAAGTCCGGGAAGTTTATAACGCATGGGTATTCCTCGTCATGTGTACGCGCGTCACACAAAACGCACCGATCACAGGCTTGTTTAATTATTTTTGCGGTCTAGATTTCTTCTTTTTTGAAGTGAGAAGTTGTCCGTCAGTCGGACGGACTCCTCCCCCCCACCCCCAAAACGAAAACTCTTCGGTTCTCCACGAATTACACAAGTCACCCAAATCAGCGTTAAAAAAGCAGGAGGTGCCGAAAAATCCCCTATTAATGTATTGATTATAGCTCCGGGTCCGTATAGGTCGGCGTCTGGGTCCGGATCCTGTTGCCGACCCCTGAAATAGATCAAGCATGCTGTTCCATCTAGACAATCATTAAAATAATCATTTGAAATGTTTGACAGCTTATTGATCATTTCAGTAATTTTGTATGGAAAAAATTCTCAAACACTTGATCCAGTTTCTCCAAGATTGTTTTTTGCTGTAGTATTCAGTTTCTTACATAAGTACACGACGTTTTGGGGTTTCCGACTTCGGGGGCGTTTTTCATTTGCTGACATTGGGAGACAATCGTGAAAATATTGCAACTTTACTCTCAGTTTATCTTCATGTGGTTCCATTTTAATGTTTATGTTTTGTTAATCAGTGATCTGACGACATGATCCTACTAGATTAATTACCCTTATGCTGGCTGTGCTCCTCCTTTATGCTCCCACCTTTGTTTTATCTCTGTTATAAACTGGTCAGACTTCCACAGGCAGCTGGAGTTGATCACAGATCACAATGCTTGTCTGGATAGTGTTTGCCGCGGTGGGTCTTCTCGCCCTATTTTTCCGCAATCCGCACTTTTTCCAGGATGTCCAATTCGTGCGTGAAAAGTTGAAAAGGAGGAGCCGCATCCTGAAATACATGCAGACCAACTACTCCATACTGGATCGGTTCATAGACGCAGAGAAGGAGCATCCACACAAGCCGTTCATCTTGTTCGGAGATGAGACCTTTACCTACCGGGACGCGGAGGAGCTCAGTAACAAGGCGGCCCGGGTGTTCCTGCAGAGCGGCCTGCTGAAGCAAGGAGACACGGTCGCGCTGTTCCTCGGAAATGAGCCCGTGTTTCTGTGGCTGTGGCTGGGTTTGGTGAAGATCGGATGTTCCGCTGCTTTACTCAACTGCAACATCAGATCCAAGTCCCTGTTACACTGCTTCAAGTGCAGCGGAGCCAGGACTCTGGTCGCTGCGGAAGGTAATCAGGTTTCATCGCTTGTTGTGGCCGTCGTGAAAACATTAAGTGAATTGAGTAAAGTTAGAACGATATTGGCAGATTCGGATTTCACGGATCAATAACTCATCTATGTGATGTGCCCTAACTTCAGTGTAGGTTTTTAGGGATATCAGTCTTTCTTTTAATCAATTAATTGAGTAAACTAATTAAAATGATTGTTTTAATAATAAGAAATGTTTTCGTTGTAGAACTGTCACTGTTTTAATTCAGTTTTTTATTTTTATTTTGTAAAGGCTCTGGGAGATGCAATTTCCTTTCGACTAGGCCTAATTCATTTCTTTAGAGTAAGAAGTAACTAAAAGTAAACTTGTGTCACGTGGAACTATCTTTTTTTTCAAGTAAATGTCCTTTTAGTGTCAGAAAGGAATGCACAGAGGATAGGCACACTCATAATATGGACATCATAATGTGAACCATACGTACATAACAATTTGCTGCAGGGGAAATGATCTAAATACAGCAGTGCCTTGTTGTCACAATGTCCACTTCCACTAAATAATGGTTTCCCCCTTGAACTCTCAGATGTTTTTTTCTCGAGGTAAAAGTATCCACATTTAAAAAAACAAGTAGATTAAATAAGATCAAAAATAATTGGTATTTTTGACTTAACACTGGTGCATGTGCAGTTAACCACTGCCTCAGCTGCAGGGAAGCACAAAGGCGCAGAGGAGATGCTCATTTTATTTTCTTGTCAGAGTTACAGGATGCTGTGGATGAGGTCTTGCCTGTTCTGTTGGAGCAGCAGGTCACTGTGTTCATCCTGACTGACAGATGCCGGACTGCAGATGTGCAGAGCTTCAAAGATAAAATGAGCCAGGCCTCCTCTGAGCCGCTGTCCAAGGATTTAAGGTCACATTTAACCCTGCGGAGTCCAGCAGCCTACATTTACACATCGGGGACAACAGGTGAGTTTCCCCAGGTGCAGAAATCATTTGTATATCAATAACTGACCTGAGTTACCTGGACTTATTGTAAAAAAAAGTCTTGAGGAATTAAAGTTGAATTCAGTAAGGACACTTTGTTTCTCTTGCATTTCTTTAAGGTGAATACAAAAAACATAAACAGAAGAAAGTCTTGATGAATTAAAGTCATTGAGGACAAGTGAAAATGCACATGTTTCGGAAAGTAGAGAGCATATAAAAGATGTTTTTAATATTGTTTTGCTGTTTTAATACACGGCCAACATTTACTTAAGTTCATCAAAACATCTTTGTCCCCAGTGGATATTTATCAAGTTGTTTTCAAGAATTTAAAGTAACATGGGGTGAGTTGATAAAAATGGTTCAATGGTTATTCTGTGGGTGAAATAGGCCTATTTCTTAAAATGTTCTTAAACTGTGGGTTTTCTCCGGAAGTATTTCCTTGTACGATGTAAGGGTCAAAGGATAGAGAGGGTGTCGTTTTTCTCATACTGATATTCTGAACAATCTGTACTGTTGTATGCTGTAAAGTGTCTCTACTCTGGGCTATTTTTATTATATGTACAGCACTTTGGCTCGACCAAAAATCGTTTATAAATGTGCTATATAAATAAAACTTGATTTGATGTTCAGTGTACAACACAACATGCCTCTGGCTTCTC